CCGCAATTTTTGGTACTGGCAGAAATCTGTTTATTTCGACAACAAAACAGCAAATTGGTCATGGCGGAAAACCGTATGGTGTTTTCGCAAATTGAGCCAAGATCTTTTCGCACTGAGCAAAGCGACAACGAGATTAAAAACTTTCTGCTGTGTTTGAAACCGACAATCTGCGTTATAGCCAATTTCCATAAAACTTTTAAACGATCCATGAAAGGTTTCCATAAAGCAGATTAGAAAATCTTCTATAAAGTTTAAATTCAAGGAGCTCAGATATGAATCCAAATGGCTTGAAAAGCCATTTTTGATACGCCTGATTTTTTGTACAAAAATTAACAACCGTTCAGAAGAGAATAATATTTAATATCAATTAAATTATTTAGATAATTTTTTGAATTAGTTCTTTTGGGACATTTTCGGCCTCTTTACTTTTTCAGGCTCCTTGGCCATTTTGAGCCCTTATATTTCTGAGGCTTGCCATAAGCCCAAGGTTTCATTGCGCAATTGTTATACGTAGAATACTGATTGTTTGTATCTTTTAAAGCTACACTTTAACCAAAGTACGCCTACCAATATTTAAAGGTCTTTATTATCTATTAAAAACATATTTGCGTGTTTAAGAAGGAATATATTGAAAACGAGTAGTTATTTAGATCCCGTACTAAAGATATAATCGCGATGAATGGTGGTTGCATTGAATAAAATTAATTGTAAAAAATAACACTTCCAATACATGCAAGAATGTTGCATTTGTTTCAATCTTAGAAACAACTCACCAGGGAAACTCCCTGCTTAGAGGCACTACTCAGCATATATTGTGGTGCTGCAAGCATTATGAATCAACGAACAGATACGTGTCTATGGCTATGTAAAATCAGATCTACCAGCTAACGGCAGAACTAACCCAGTTTACTTTGGTAGCAACGGTGATGTGGCTAGCAATATGGAAACGTTGGTGAACCGGGTAGTAGGTCACCTCACAGGGTATTGTAGGTTTACAAATCTTACTCGAAGAAATGGGCGCCTATGTAAGTATCGTTGGACAAAATGCTGCCAACAATACGATACCTGTAATAACCGTCTTGTGCGTGATATGGCTCACGTACAAGGAAAGCGGCTACATTAAATGTCTTCGATAATGTAGTATTGGATGGTTTTCCTCCAGAAACAGCCGGGGCTAGCCCGTTCGTTTGCTATTGCAAGAGGGGCAGGGAAATTTTCTAAACATTTCTATATGCGAAACCGGAACCGTTAGATAAACTAAGGATCAAGCTCGAACGTTGAAATATTCATAAATCGAGATCGAGTTTCGATGGTACTTTTCACGCTGAAATCTTCTAATTTATACGTGTGTCACAATCCGGATTATGCTAACTTCAGATTTCACATAACAACAAATAAAGCTGTCGGTGTTCGTTGGGCCGAACATGTTTAACATGTCGAAAAGAATCTTTATGATAGGTCGATATATTTTCATTTACTCGGTTCTGATAAAAACACTAATAAAGACAAATAACGTTCTTGGTGAAAGGGATGAAAATTTCGCGGACGGATGAAAGGTTTCTATTACAGAGCCACGCCGAATTACTCACAAGCTGGGGATACTGGGGGTCGAGAATGGACCCGTGCAAGCAGTCGTAGTACCCCAGCGACCACTACACTGAACGAACAAAACAAGAGCCTTTAAGGAATGCGGATTGGTAGAAAGGGTATCCATGCAACACTTGGAACACGACTGCTATCGGCGACGACTAGGAGAAATGTACGGAGACTCTACATCTCAGAGATGTGCCTTAATGTACAGAAAAAAATGCTATTGAAGACTAAAGCATCCAGAGCGATATGCACTCTATACCATTCAAGAAAATGACAGCTTGCAGCCGTTGAAGTGCTTGACGTGAATCACTATAACATGATGTAACTATGATCTGTACGATAGCGAAACCGAAATCTTGGCTCCGCTCCGCGGGAATGTAGCTTTAGACATTCTCCACCGGTATTTGCAACCTATGTTTTTAAAAATAAGAACACGGCTGCCTGGAGAAGAAGTAACGTCAGATGACTTAAGGCGAAATGACTTCTTTGAGGTATTCCACAAAGACAAACTATTACATGAAGAATGAGTTGTTATACCTGTGAGAAGTGAAGTATTTTTTCATCCGAAATTGATATGAAACCCTTTTGGCCCAAAATGATTGCGTCTAGCATCACAAATAGACTTTGTGTCAATTAACTTACCGTTTAAACTACGTGCTAGCATTAATTGGAAAAGAAATTAGAAACAGAAACAAAATGTGACAATTCTGCAGTTGTTTCGCATCATTTAAATCTTTCGTGTATTGACCAGGCATACTCGACCGAGGGCACACTGCACATACTAAAAGCAAGGACAAAGAAACTCAACCAAGTAATATTTCGCAGCTTCTAGGGGATCGTACCGACATATTACAAACACGACCTTTTTCCGCGACATTGCATCGCTGACCTGAGTCTCAAAGGTTGAGACGCTTTCTAAACTGATCGGCTTGGAACTACTTCTTAGTAAAAATTCTGCATCTCCGTAGACGATGAGCAAAGCTATCGCCAAAAATCAACTATGCAAATTGAAAGTATGTTGCAATAAGAGCGAATCCGGACCAAATAAAGTGGGGCATGTGCTTTAACAGCCGCCGATGTGAACAGTATATACGAAAATGTAAGCGTACGCACGCCTTCAAACTGACAGTATAATAATAAGTTAACGAACATTTATGCATCCGTCACTAGAAGAAAAGTGTGATTAAAGTTTTTTCCAAGTGATCAGAAAGCAAGAAGTATTCAGAAAATGTATACGAAGCACATGCACATTCATAGTGACAACTTGAAAATAGTAACTGCAAAGGACGCATTGAGTTTTTTAGGCGTAGGAAAGCGCAGATACGCAGTACTCTCTCCGAATCCACATCTCTTTCGAACGACGAATTGCTGCGGCTCAATTGTCGGATATAGCGGATCCCCGGCTGCTTCGTAAAGACCCCCCCCCCCTCTCAGATTCCCTCCACGTTCATGATGTGCATGTCAGCGCAGTGAAGAGAGTAAAGCAGCTGAAGAAACTGGAGGTCAAAAATGCTGAGACTTCCGCCACACTTATAGAGCTTGAAATCTTAATTTACACATCTTTTCATTAATTTCACCTATTGCAATAGTGTTGTGCTTGGTGCATAGAAGCTTGGGCCTACCAACAAAGAACGGTATCACTATGTCGTAGTAGCATGCAAACTGTTAGAAAATATTATGTATACTGCTGTAAAGATATTACCCAGCCATTATTGGAAACACAATTGTGATGAGCGAAATTCATCATTATGGCTTAATGTTTCGAGGTGGTTTACATCAACGTCAAATCAACGTTCAAACGATTCACCCACTTGAAGTTTTATAAGATCCTTTTCCAGCTTGACGTCGGCAATCTTCTAATGAAATAGATATACGATTATCTTAGCGGCCGTACCTTGGGTCAATTGGAAATAGATATCGATAGAGCCATCCTGGTATCCCTCGTGTATACTTTGTAAACGAATTTAGTAATGTACGTATTACACCCTGCCAGCGTTTGTCAAACGTACGACGTAAATATTAATGCTGGAACCAACAGAGACGCGTGCGATTTAGTCTTGCGAGATAAGCTAGACAAGTTTTCCGAATGGACTTATAGATTAGGTTTAAAATGTGCCGTTCTGGTACTAATCATGTATACCATATTGGCAGATCTAATTTACACAGTTTACACAGGCTATCTACGGTTGTCGCAGTCATCACTTTAAAAATATATAGAACATGTAACGGATACATTGTTTCACTGAACCACTCATAACATGTGGAGCATGCATATAGTGTCCAAGAGAAAAAAAGTCGCCGGAAGCCTTAAGAACTGAGACACGTACGCAAAACAAGCTGCTCCCGAATGGGGGAAAAGAGCTAAAACACTGACTAATTTCCATTAAATTTAACGTTAGTAGTACGCAAGCGTTCGAACGACTAAATTCAAGTCAAAAACGGTGGTTTTTTTGACATGATTGAAACAACTTGCACAGCTCACATTTTACTAAGATTTGTGCCCCAAAATTATGCGGAAACAACCTATTACTGCGCGAGCAATTGTAAAACAGTATGTAAAAAAAGTACCATTGTAACAAAACGTTTAAGTAAAGTGTATGATTCGTACTGTTACTAAACGCGGTCTTAGAGTTTAACAACGAATGGAAAATGCATTTAGTCGGTATCGGATAGCCTTTGATAGATTCTTTTCATGATCGTAATAGTCTATTTACCTTACGGGCTTACGGTAAGCGTTACGAAAATAGATGTACGCTTGAGCAGGAATTTTCGGATGTGCAGGTATGTATGGACTTGAGCGCAACCACTCGGAACAAGCAGATCCGATAATGGCTTAGAGTCAAACAAAGCTCAACAATGTTATAAGTAGATTTGACGCTTCATACAACTTAGTCAGACGCATAGAACAATTCCAGCTCATCAGTAACAAGGAATATCGAAAGATTCAAGTTAGAGAGGAACTTCCAAATTAGGCAAGAACTAACGACAACATTCTCAGTGACCCTTCACCATCATAAAAACAAAAAAATGTTTCTTTTTTTGTTAAAACAAACGTCAGGTGGTGTCTAAATCCAATCGAGCATTACACATATAACCCAGGTGCCATTACGAAATGTCTGCATAATGGCGGCTTCTACGCTATCAGTAAGGTTAAAGTTTAGAGATAGTATTGTGGCCTTGTTCTTTGCCCTCACGGAAATGTTGGGCACGCCGATAATACAAACAAGACATAGTCAGGACGAATGAACAGTGATTAAGCTTTATCCAGGACAAACTAATTTTCCTCGAAAATGCGAAAGAAAGCTACAGCTTAAAATACACAAAACGTAGTATCGACTAAGGGATAATATTTTTATTGTAACTGGTCGTATTTTCCGCTATGTCTTTGTTTGCACAAAATATTTCAGTTGCTTTGGAATGGGGACAATTATGTTGAAGTGTCAGCATCGCCCAGTCTGAAGGGTTCCCTATGCGGACTTTGCGGAAATTTCAATGATAAGCAAGATGATGAGTACACTACAAAGCGTGGAGTCGTCGCTCAGAATGTCAATGACTTTGGATCATCTTGGAAGGTATATAAATATTAATGCACACCGATTATGAATGTTCCATGTGAAGTTCTAATGCCAAGTCAAATATATTTATCTGCAGCAGGTGATATTCTATTTGTTTCGTCTGTGAATAGAGAGTACACAGTACCTTTGCAATTTGTGTTCTTTTTAGAATTCCATATACTCGTAACAGCCGTCACAGCTAGCTACATTTATCTATTTTAAAAAAGTGACAACAAAATTTGAGATGATTGTAAAAACATACAAAATACTCAGATTTGAAGCCAACATTAGATTCCGTTCGCCTGAGTTTTTAGAGTAGCCGATTACGTTTTTTTAATTGTCCTAATTTTACCAACTTAACGGGTTAGAGTGGTGGCTCACCTAGATGGGCAGAGTTTTATTCAGATAACATTGCTAATTAGGCAGCTTCCGACTTTCCTTTTAACGTTCCGCTTTTAACGGAAAAATTTGGTGCGCACGTCTCTTTCAACGCAACGAATCACTGTTGGTGACATAGAGCTCGTTGTTTGCCCAGAGACACAGGTCTTCCATAATTTCTTCTATTCAGACATAATGCATCCTATTTATTTCATTATAAATAACACGTATGACGTCAAAAGATTCCTGCAGTGATCCAAGAATATCGATAACATGAATAATTTAGTGGCGTAACTAAGCACTGACTCAAGGACCATGAGCTATTTTTTAAATGAAAAAAAAAACCTTAACTTTTCACTCATAAAAATTAGTCTATGACACTCTCGCGCTTAGGTGATAGCAGTAAATCGTAATGCCACTTATATCCCATTAATAAAAGGTCATTTGAACGTTGGGCAAACTGTTTGCTATGGGACGGTTTTGCTGTTGAAATTTGAACGAAGATCGATGGCAGCAGAGATTCATTTAGCTTCATTTCAAATTGTCTAGAATCGTACAACCGTTTTATAAGAACCGATGAATAACATTTATTATCTGAACCATGCTACGCTTTCTACTGGCATAGTAAATGGTTCACGATTACTTGTACGCTATGCCATTTTAACAGAATAAGGTAAAAAATTAAACAATTTGAATGATAGTTTCTATCGCGAAAATTAAGCTCATTCAATATGGAGGAGAGAACAAAACAGGACACTATAGAACAGTATCATTTGTGTGCTTCTTAAAATAGTCGTTCTCAAATTTAGAAATTACATTTTTGGTAGGGTTTTTTTGCTCACTTCTCCGTAGTACAATTACAAATAGAGCATTTTGAATGTTCAATTATTACGGTATATATTATTTAGTTAATTTCGGTATTATAATGTTGCCAGGATCTCCGCGGTAATTGATAGAACGCTGTCGTGCCAACGTTTCTTAACTTAATCCAGCTAATCTTAAATATTAACGCGAGGTGGCTAAGTTAGTTTTCGCGCAATACAGCCCGAACTTTCCATTATATAAAGAAAGGCCTCTTAATAGATTCGCAAGGTTTAAAAAACTCATAGTGAACGATGCCTTTGCTGGTCCGCTGAACATTTGTATAGCACTATTTCAGTTTTCGATATTTCGAGGCAGGCTAACTTTTGTTTCCCGATATCGTTTATTCGCTTGATTATCCTACTAGTTGCAGCTCTCACACAATCCGAGCTAAAAAGCTTTGTGCAGGGTAGCACTTTTCTAGCTTAAAAACAAACGATACGCAGTAGAATCTGGTTAAATCTAAGTTGAAGCTAGCACTACACCCTCATTCAAAGATGTGTCCTAAACATTTGAAGCGCGGCAGGTTTCTCTCACTTCGCGAAAGCCCTTAGCCGCATAAAAAAACACAGTTTTATTTAAAAAAAAAGTCACTTTCAAATGTGCACGAGGCTTTTTCAAGCTTATAATAAAAGCTAATATTGCTTTAAATTACTCTGCGAAGAATGCATCCATTACAAGCAACAATTGTTGAAGCCAGCTCACATTGTTAAAACCTTTTCGGTAAAAATAGTCATACTTATGTTCTTATCAATACAATAATCTGGGCTATTAGGAGGCTTGGTAGAAGGGATCAAAGATGCTGCTACTATTTTAGGTGTGTTTTAAACAACATTAGATTTACTTTTTCCTCAATTGACCGAGCTGAGGTCTGAAAGTAAGCGTTTCATTAATAACAGGCGTGTCGGCAACTACCAGTAGATGTAAGATTTCTATTCGAAATCAGTAGAAACGTTACTGTCTGACAATCCTAACCTTTTATCTATATGAAGGGAATATACGTCCATTTGATATATTGAACTGGGCGGAGTTAATTAAATAACCTTTAGAAAGTTGAAAGACCTTTATGCCATGTAAGGTAAAACAAGGGGATATCGGTATTTGTATGACGTCTTATCCTTACTGAAAATAGCGTTCTGGGAGCTTCCCAACAACTGCGTACTCGTGTATTCAACTTCATGTCAAACTTCGTTTGTTCGAGGGAATCGGTCATAAAACAACTGTGCGCCACAGCTACTTCATGTCCTATCTATGCTGTAAGCGGGTTTTCTAATAATAGATTGCCTCTACAGTACATAACCTGCGCGCAGCTCGTAATGAACCCACTTTTTCCGCATCTTTAATGCCTTCGTTACAATTCCATAACGTATACCTCGAAGAATTTTATGTTGAGGATTCATACGAACGTCACTTAATAATCGAAGTTGCTTTGTATGAATTTTTCTTTAATCTGGCCTTTGGGCTAAATATACAAGCTAAAAAAAGAAATTCAACGACAGTTAACAAATGCATTTATGTTAGAAAATGTTAAATACATCTGAGCTAGGAAGTGTGACTTAAATCAACTTGTAGCGAAAACTTGCTTTGCACTTATTAATCTGCCTAAGCAGGTACCATTGGAATATTTAACTTAGTTCAGTTGAAGTAAAAGACACCAATCTTCAGAAATACCTTAACTAGAAACTGCTAGGATGCTGGCATTTTTAAAAATACTGCTTCATTCGTTGGCTTCATTGTACATTATTATGGTAGGTTTCGCTATTTCAGTTAGAACCTATTTCTGTTATTTATTTACTGTTGCGGATTGATTAATCCATGTTTAGACGTGTTTGTGTAAATTACGTATAGGCTTTCAACAACGGTTGGCGGAATACGTTTTTGACAACTTCATGATTAAAAATTATTGCTTATTACGTTATAATTGTAAGCGCTCTTATTTTCCATAAGCCATAAGCATTCCCCTAAACATTACTACGTTTAGTTTGAGGTACTTCTTCCTTCAGGCTTCAGGCCATATTACCAAAGCCTAAAAAGATTTTTAGTCTGTCCGCCAGGTTATGAAGCAGGTTTCAGCTACACATAGCGCGAACATATCGCAAAATAATCGTACCATATTTTACAGTTGCACTCTAAGGGGTGCATAGGAACCAACAAATCACTTCTTCTTTATATAAGTTTTTATATATATTTCTATACAAGTTTATAATGAGCGCTAAATCTATAAAATCAGCATCAAATTGATACTTTTAATAACTAATATTCCTCTACTAGTTTTACATATGTATGGCATATAGTGGAGTTGAAATGGTGGCTTCTAGGATCAGCAGCCATGGGCTTTTTTGCAAGCTAACGTAATTGTGGCCTCTTAGTACAGGCATGTGTCAAAAACGAGCAGTGATGAGAAAGTCAACCGATTTAAATTAACAACTAAGTATTTGCAAGACAAAATCTATGACTGTGGTGCCATTAAAGACGTTAGTATCCCCAAATAAATTGCTTAATCCAAGTTTGATCAGGTATTATATTTAATAATTCAGGCAAGGAGTTACTATTTTTAAGGCATTTCTTAACCATGATTATGGACGAGTGTCCAGGATGGTATCTCATTGTATTTGTTCTCCAAATTACTTTAACCCTTGGAGGGGTAAGAACTTCATCGTAAGTTACAGTTTATGTGAAATTATTCGTGTTAAAGGTTGGGCATCGTAAAAACTGTCTGCAACCCGTTCCGCATTCAGCGTGCAAAGACGAGGACAGGATTAAACGGCGAAGGAACGTTACAATATGCGGCAAATTGAAAGGAGGGCCATTTAAACCTTGTCACAAGCATGTCAATGCTGTCCCATACATACGGTGAGTGGCTGGATCATTGTGAGCGAACGGCATGTCCCAGAGATTGGAGGATTATAGAAAGTAGGAAAAACGGTAGTTTGCTTGAAAATAAGTTCAATTAGCCTTCTATTTCAATTAGTCAATTAGCAAACAACCGTGTCTTTGATTTCGGACCTAATCACCATGTAATTATTCATCTTTAGCAGATGCAGCGCAATCTATAGCTGAATGCTTAGACCTTGCACTCATAATAGTTTTTTTGTTCGTTCTGATGTCAGGGCGTGCCAACTGGATATGTGCAGCTGTGGTGCCGAAAATGGTCGCTGTTACTGTTCTGCAATGGAGGCTTACGCCCGCGAATGCGCCCGGGCAAACATTACACTCGCCCCACTGGCAGGTCCAAGCGTTAAAAGTGTCAGCGGCACTTGGCAGGAGCAGACAGGATGCCAGCATCACTGGTGTCCCGCCCATTCAACATGGACGCCATGTGGCGGTGTTTGCCGAAAAACTTGTAGAAACCATGTAAGGCAATCTGCGCCTCAATGCAACAAAAAGTGTGTGGCCGGGTGTCAATGTAATCCAGGACGAATTTGGCAGGACAACCGCTGCGTAAAGCCAAATGAATGTTTGCGTCGTCTAGGGTAAACATTTTTTGAGTAAAATGTGAGAGCTTTAGAAGATTTGTTGACGTTAACAATGCGGTTGTGGCTTCTAAATAATTTATTATTAGTGTGGGATGGAGTGTTGAAGCTTCTACATAATGCTGTCTATGTGACATCTTTAGTTCACGTGACTACCATGGCGCCCGTTCGGTGCGCCAGTAGCCCTGTTCCAAAGAGCGAACAAGAGGAAAAAGAGAAGCAGGCTTTGTGCAAAATCATGAAACGTTACTAAGATGAATCTTGTAATCCAAAACGTCATTTAATGATAAAGAACAGTAGCGAATTTATTAAAAAAAACGTGAATGCATAGTGTGCCTAATAACCTAATTAAGCCACAGCTCATCTGCCAAGTGGCATATGGTAGTTTCACTTCTCAAGAATGCTTATTATTTATATATTGTCTTTTTTTCTATTTCTTCCGATGTGACATTGATCTCCTCATTTTTTTGTGGTTCGAAAAATATTTACGATAACGAACCACTTAACTATAACTAGTAATGCAACTTACATAGGTACTAGAAAACGAGGTGTGATATAAATATACAATGATATAATATTTTTGACCCTACAGGAGAAACGTATGCTTTTTTCGTTTTCGCTAAGCGTGTCGCGGTCTCAGAACGCTTTCTGTCATCGAGTTTTCCCTTCTAGAATAGGTGCTCACAGGTTTAATATGGACATGAAGCGACCATACTCTGCTATATCATAGATTAGCCGTCGCCTTTCAATGAAAGTTCCCTGATACGTTTCTCCGAATATATTTATTTACCTGACTGTGTCTCATAGGTGAGTCGATGCCTCTAGGATGCAAGCCATATAATGTAAAAAGCAATGACAAGACTGGTAAAAGCGAATATAAAATGCCAAACTGCTAGCCTTAGGTTTGACGGCGCACAGGTGGTGATAGAGCAACCTAAGTAAGTGAGGAAACTAATAATAAAACATTTGTTTGTTTATTAGCATTACAACCAGCCGTGAATATGCGGAAACGTTTTGATATGGGTAAACTGTATAGTATGGACTTAATCAGATGTTTGATGTCCATTTAAAGAGTATTAATAATTGCATTCAATTACACTACATTTACATATAATTTTTGTCAATAATAGTTAACATCTCATAAGGTTTATTCATCTGGTAGTATTTTCTCGGTGAAAGATTTTACTATGCCTCTCTTGATAAAATATGGTACAATTAGCTTTGCTATCACAACCTCACGTTTGTTTATATAGACGTAAACATAGGCGAACATTGAATATAACATCGTAACACTTCAGCGTAAAATATGGATTTTTTTTTTTAATAATGAATACTAAATATCAGGTAATAACATTATGAATTAGGTCTAGTTAATTAAGTTATTTACTTCTATTGGTAATTCAATTAAGTAATTCAACAAATTTTCGAGGTGTTGTGCCTTCGTTGGTCCTTTGGATATAAACACTCATACTGACTCATATCGTAATTGACATAATTGTACTTGATAGCCCTACGTTACACACCGCTTCGTATAAAAATTTATTGTTACATTTGTATGGTCTTGTAAATATAAGTACGACAGAGAGATGCCACAGTTCTAAATTGTGAAATATTTTTTTGAAGTATGACGCGAGCTATAGTATTATACTGGTTTGTTTATGCAGCACATTATGTCCCCCTGGCAGTCATTCTAAAACAACTAAGATTGCTATAGAAAAATAAAAGTTTGCAAAACGAGTTTATTTAGATTCTTTAGACGTTCTCACCCGCCTTCTCGGCTCTCGTATGAGTAATGTAAAGGTTATTGTTCCGCAGTCTATATGAAACGATGACCATTAAACGACAGATGGTGATATAATGTGCAGGTGTCATAGCTATTTGAATCGGGTGTCTTTAAGAGACTGAACACCTGATTAGCTATACGCCACCATGCTAAGGTGCCCACCAACCTTTGCTGGCGGACTAATGATTCGGGACTCTGAAGCAATATAGAACTTACCTAGAGCTCTTCTAGATTTTTTTTGAGGAATTTAATTAACATTAACAAACCACAAATCATCCGACACAGAATAATAATATTACATAATAATTAAAGGAAATAATTGATGGATTCGATAAACGAAAATAAATATAAGTGACGACCTAACAAGACTTTTTATGGAAACAAAATCTTAACGAATTAGTGAAATATTCTTTGTTGAGGTGAGTCTCGGCTCGGAGTGTCTCACAGCGTTCTGCTATGGGATCCGTTTAGACAATGCTTCCTGGAGCTAAATTATGATCACAGTTTAACTTGAGCTGATACAACAGTGGCTAGGTAATTGGTAAATTCATTTGCAGTAGTGGAAAAAGGTCAGCCATTCTTATGTTACTTGGCCAAATCAGAGAGATATAGCCGGCACCTAATAATATATCAATAGTGCATTTCAGTCAGTAAGACCTACGCATCGAAGTTTATTACTCAGTAGTCACGACCCCACAATTATTAACTATCTTTTCCACTTGATCATCTCATTTTCCGGCATGGGCATTTGCCAGCTGTACGTTGTGTGTGACGCTGATTATAGTAGCAACTAACACGATTGGTTGACTTTTACGCTTAGCCGAAGATAAACGGACATGCGCCGGCAGGTTCCCTAGTACTGCCTCATTCGAGGCAATTTTCCTAGAGTAATCTGTTAACTTTTTGTAGTCATTTCATCAGTGTTTGATTTCCATGAATTACGCTGAGCAGGGCACAAGCTGCATAGATTTCTTTATAGATCTACCCCCTATATCTCTACCCCTACGTATCTCGTTCTCCCATCAAAATGCTTAAACAGTACTGCTAGCGCGCTGTAATGATTTCAGCTTTAATTATAAATTTGTGCTGAATTTAAATTAGCGACAGCTCTTGCTCGGTAAGGGACCTACATTTTTGTCAGCGTCTGATTGTAGTTATATTTCTTTTATTTCAATGTTTGTATCACTAATCTCGTTACTTACAATGGTTGGTTGATTGCTTTGCTAAAATAATTCCACTTTTCGATAGCAACGTCTTAGATAATATGCTACTTTATTGCGACCAATCCGTAAACGCACTGGACGTATTCTAATATACATACGTACATACATACATACATACATACATACATATCTACAAACGTGCTCGCACCGAATCGACCAACCATGAGACTTATTCTAGTCTATTTGGCTTAGATATAGTTAGTTTACATATAGAGAAGGATATAGTCTCGATTCGTATTTTTTCTTTCAATGAAAAAACGTTTAAACTCATCCCTTTTGATAATCTTCTTGTCTTAATTTTAAGCAATTATGAGCATATGCTTTTTTCTCTTTCAATCTTTAGCTTGTCGAGCTTTTTTGTTTTGCTTTTTCGCCCACATTCGGTCAGTTTTCTCGCAGTGGAGATAAAGTCCTTGTGATAGCTTAGTGGTAACGTGTTAGCGTGCTAATTTTAAGGAAAGGTTCTCATCTAGGGCTAAACCCAGGCATAGACAGATTTTGTTCTGCGCTGGGAACCAGCCGTATGATGGAACGCCTCACGACGACAAAAGACCTAAAACTCGAAACATAAAAACCGACTGCAGTACTCCCGTTACGCGCACCTTAATTAATCAGTGCAGTGTGGAAAATCTATCAGTTTCTAGTTATGCCCTTGATTTGAAAAAGAATGTTCATTGTGTCGTCTTCTGGCCATTACTTGCATCTTAAACAGTGAAGTTGCCGTGATTTCTCCACAGTAGCTTTAGTTTTTAAATTTAAAAATGCTTATTACGTAATTGCTGCGCAAGTTATAATAATAAACATAATAATAAACAATATCTTATATCCTAAAAACGTTTCTGTGTGCATTGGCGCACCTTTTAATAGTCAAAAGACCTATTAAATAAGATTAGTTTTTGGTTAGAGAAAATTTTGAAAGAGTATCACTTAGAAAAAAATTGCCCTAGTAAAAATGCTAAGTTTACAGGCAATTATGCTCCTCTACAAAGTGCGAGATAATACAAAAACTGAACAATGCATACACGTGTGTGTTGAAATTCGAAGCTGATTTTTAGGAGTGGTGAAAATCGTCAAGAGAAACATTTCTTTCTATGAAATTATTATTTTATTACTAAGCACCGGCATTTGTGTAATAGTTACATGATAAATTTCAAGTAAATTGATTAAAAAGAAAAAATAACGATAAATGTAATACCACTGATTTTTTAATTTATCACTCTAACTTGCGTTTGAGGTTCTATTTAAAGTTTTTCCTCATTGTTGCTTACCTGCTACCACCCTGTCAAGTCAGCTTCTCAGTTTTATTTGGTACGTCCAAGTACCGATCTGTCTAATGCAATGTTGAAGTTAGATGGTGTTGTGGCAAACCTTTTTCTCCATATTGTGAGAGACTTTTCTATTGTGACTTTTCTATTGATCGTAAGCATGTTTATGCATACTCACCAGATTTTAAGTAGATCAACTTTTAGGAGCTGCAGGCTATCTTATCTGAATAACTACCTTTACTTATTTTCAATCAGCTGATTTAAAATCGATCACTTTTGCGCAAATATTGATCTTGTTTTCTTTCGATTTCTTCATTCCTCAGAGGATTGAGCCCGAATTATACAAAGTAAGATAAATGAGGTATAAACTAAGGTCGTAAGAAAACCGACTTATTTCCTTTACGATCGACAACTTGACAAACAATTGATTTGCTCTTCAAAAAACTGAAGTGCATAATCTTGTCATCGCCTCAAGCGAACTGGCATCTCTTTTTCTATGTCGGTTATTGCAACATGTGTTAAAATTTTGTATATACTAAGCGTCTGCTGAGCAAACAAAAGATCAAACATAAAAGCACTTCCGGGGCCGTAGGTCGAAGGGGAGCCATTTTCAGCGTGTTGTATAAATGGACTATCTGCTGGATTTTTAGCAGAATGATGCAGTTTTGCAGTGCTGCCTTTTTCTTATTTTTTAAAACCAAACCTATAAACATCTGGCGTTCGGAAATGACTTTGCAAGACTAATAAAAGCTTAAATAATTGATTGTACATATATTTCCGTTGATTTCTGTTTAGTAGAACCTGCCGGTATATATATTCATATTAATGTGAAATAACGGATTGGCAATCCAATACAGTGTCATTGATGGCTATTCTCGCAGACCTCTTTTTCTTTTAAATAATAGACTTGTTTGCAAGCCTTTGCGTTCAGCACGCTAAACTTCAATGCCGAGTGAAGGTCAGATTGACTTAATTGGCGACCTGCACTATCTTAATGTAACTATTAAATGCTGACGTAGTAATTCATGTAGCGGAGTATAGAAGAAAATGCGCATCGGTCGGCTGCATAAGTAAATGATTCACTGAACTAGTTTGGTTCGTTCGAGGCCACGTGTGTAGTTCCCATTCATTTGCGCAGATTATATTTGCACATTTTCATTCTGAAATAGAGTAGGTGGAGGTCGACTAAAGGAAGATCAACTATAAGGCAAACCTTTACAATAAGAACAGCAACTAGAAACTATTGTACTAGAACGATAGGTAGTGTTGGGGCTTGCCATTCGGTTTTCTTGCGTCTCTCTTAATTAACAGGCTTTACCTGCAGGTTTGATCCGGAGCTCGCTGCTTTTAGGGTCTTCCGTTGCTGTAGACTATGGAATTAGGAAATATTCGTTAACTTAGTTTACTTCCTGCGGGTGAAGGATTGCAAAAGTTTGCCCACAGACCTGTTAATGGACATCATATTTTTACGTGTTTCGAGGTTACGTTTTTAAAAAGTGACTCTACTGCTTGCCTCAAAAGAAGATCGTACGTGTCGTAAAAAATGAAAATCATGTAGTCGAGGAAGACGAAAGAAGGGGCGGACATGATTGTGGATAGGAAAAGAAGTATCCATTAACAGATTCTTAATACACTCCGATCAAAGCACACGGTTTTTAGTTTGGTTCTTCACATAATTCTCTCATAACTAGATTTTGAATCGTTTAAAAGCATTCGGTGATTGGGGTGCGAGTCCAAACAATGCAGCAGTAGGTTAGAACAATTTACAGAGCAGGCCAGACAATTTAAACGATGAGTTTATCTCTGTACAAATTTGTTCAGCGCTGTTTGTAGGCAGCCCCAGGAACTGCAACAGCCCTCGAACCTTAACGTGATAAAGGATGCGACACAAGTCCGTATTTGCCAGTGATACTCGGCTGAGAGTTACCGAACCGATTCTCTTAAAAGGAAGTATATAATACGACTATCCAACTACACCGAAAGCAACGTTACAAAAGCACACGCAACTGCTCGGGCTGCAAACTCCGACAGAACTAAGTGATACAGATTTAGAAATTTCTAATAGATTATTAATAGTGTAATACATATTACGTTATTAAAGATACAATAATTAGCTGGTATGAGTAAACGCTGTTTCATGTAT